TCCGATATTTACTGTGGGAACCTGGTCGAGCTCCTGGAGGTAAATCTTACAATATTCTCCGAATGTGACTGGATCCCTCTAAAGTTTTAAACTCTCAGACTTTCCACACTGAGCCCCCAACAATTCATCAATTACAGTTCAGGTTTTCCTTCTCTGGCACCAGTTCCTGCAATGGTTCCAGATACTGAGTCTCTGCTCCAGGAAGCCAAAACCCAAGAAGGCCTGTATTCGCCTGTCTCTACAATCTTGGGGGCAGCAGTTTGCCCCGTGTCCTTCCATCTCCTATGGATCCAAAAAGAGTTGTTAATTTTTCAGTCTGTTCAGCTTTTTACTTGTTGTTAGGACAGAGTGGCTACTGCCAAACTTTCGACATGTGGAACTGGAAACGAGAATTGAATTCCATCTCTTTTTCTGAGATTATTATATGTCTGATGGATGTTCTTTTCCAGGCTCCATGCCATGTACACCTTTCTCATATTTTCCATCTCTCTCTCTGTTACACTCTGTGTGATTTCCTCAGATCCATCTTGTACTTCACTAATTCCCCTTGCAGCTCTATCTAATCTGCTGCTTAACCTATGCACTGAGATTTCGATTTCAATGACTATTGTCTAAAGAGTTCAATTTACATCTTATTCACAGGTGTCTTATTTTTTACTTACCTCCTATTCATCCTTTTAAGGATTTGAAAATAAACATATTTATAGTTCTAAAGTTCTTGGAGTGGTAGTTCTAATCATATCTGCTGACTCTCACTCCTTGTATAGTTAAAATTTTTCATCACAGGGGACTGGCCCCGTGGCCGAGTGGTTAAGTTCGTGCGCTCTGCTGCAGGCGGCCCAGTGTTTCGTTGGTTCGAATCCTGGGCGTGGACATGGCACTGCTCATCAAACCACACTGAGGCAGCGTCCCACATGCTGCAACTAGAAGGACCCACAACAAAGAATATACAACTATGTACCAGGGGGCTTTGGGGAGAAAAAGGAAAAAAATAAAATCTTTAAAAAAAAAAATTTTTCATCACAAGTTCATCTTTAACAGAAGGTGACTGTAATTTTCTATAGGAACCCTCTGTGGGTTTTTAGAACAGTTTTGCCAAACTCTTCTGGGATATCATCTACTTTGAAACTTCTATAATATAGTATAAGGGATTTGACACTTTCTACTGGCTTTAATTTCACTGGTATGACAGCCAATTTATAGTACAAAAAATAACTTCAATTCATAATGTAATCTTTATGGAATCATTTAAAACTATCATTAAGAATTCACATTTGAGTTAAAACTCAACCACAGAAATCACCAATGCAAATAAACAAAGAGAGAGGTCAAATCAGATAACAGGAACCTTTCACAGAAGACAAAGTTCACACAAACTCAGGCAATGATAACTTCCTCCTTATTTAAAATTCTGCTTGGTGGTTGGCTTTTTTTTTTTTTTCACGTCTATTATAAGAGACATGCCAATTTCAGAAAGCATCCTGAATTCAGAAAGATTAAAATGTCGGGGGGAAATCTTAAAACCAAGAAATATAGTATGTTACGCAGACAGCAAGCGTATAACTTAAAATGAGGACCACAACTGCCTGGAAAGCCAGACAGTATCTACAGAGAGAGGAAATATGTTCTTTCCTGCAAATACACTACATGCAAAGCCAGGTCATTAGAAGGCTGCACGTGCACACTGGAATCAGAGTGCTGACTGCCTGCTGCAATCTACCTTCAATGTTTGGGTGAGCGAGACAAGATTCTCCCATGGACAGCACAAAAGTTGGGATACTTATCCCGCATTTTCATTGTAGAACAAGCTGCCTTCCAACTGACTCAATCTTTCTTCAAATACGTTTATTTCAACAGAGTAATAATCACATCTTACTCTGTCCATAGAGTCAGTCTTCTTTCTGATGATTTTGAAAAGCTCTGCATTGATTCACTACATGAGTTCATAATTAACTCTTGGAAAACAAACTTATTTCAAGCTACACCTACCTCCAGGTGCACAGGCATAGACAAAGGATCAACTAAAAATAAAACAAAGGTTTCTTAAATACAAATCGTACTGCCCTCAATCACAAAAGTCTAAAATAAAAACTGAACCTCATATGCTACAAAACAGGCTACCATCCAATGAAGTTTAAAGACCAATACAATAAAGACTAAGAATCTGCTAACAATATTTATTTCAATTTTTGGTTTGTTCTGAAACATTTTAGAAGATGAGGAAGAAGGAAATGAAGAGAGACTCTATGCTCATAAAATTTATATTAAGTTCATAGACTTTACAACAAATTACTAGACCCATAAACTAAACAATGAAGCATATGAAAGAGGGAAAAGCATATGAAATAGGCAGTCCCTGACTTAAGGGCAACCTATATAAATGAATACTCATTGTAGCATTCTGAATTTTTTCCATGCTGCCAAAATACCACTTGCAATAACCACTCACATCATTCTGAATCACTCCCGGCCATGATGGCCTGGGCCTCCTACCTGAACCTCTGCTGAACCAGCTGCCTAAACCCTGAGCGCTTCCACCTAAGCCAGTCCATTTTCTTCTTCAGCTACCAGGACTTGAGTATCTGGATATATTACAGATTTTTTAAAAAGAAGAAAGCTGTTGTGGGATACTCTGGAAAATAAGCCAACATTTAGAATATCATCTCTCTGAGAATGAATTTGAAATTCACAGCAGACACAGAAGCTCTGAAAATAGAGTAGAAGTTACCTCTCCTAAGGGAAATTTTACATTTATAAAGGAAATCTCTATTTGTAAGATTGCCTCCCTCTCCGTACTAGGAAAAAAAGGATGACTAAATCACAAGAATATTACCAATGGAAAAAGGCACCAATTTAAATCTGCATAACAAATCCCTTATTTACCACAATTTTCCTGGTAACCTCCCATCACTCCTCTCCCACCTTCTTCATCTTTAGCTGAAGATGGCATTTAAGCCGAAATTCTAAACCACCTCACAGATTTGCTCATTTTTCCCTGGGTATTTCCCATGCATACTGGAGGTATACATATTAATAAACTTTGTTTGTTTTTCTCTTATTAATCTGTCTTTTATTACAGTGGTCTCAGCCAAGAACTCAGAACTGTAGAGGGATTTTTTCCTCCCCTACAGGGCTCTGCCTTCAAAAAAGAGTGGTGTCAGAATTCCTACAGCCTGTGACGGGGAAGCACATTACCCACCTGCCACTTCTAACCTAAATCAGCCAATCAAAACTCCTCCTCCTTTTACCCATAGTTGGCCACTGTCCAAGTTTTAAAACTTCAAGAACCATATATAATTTTTATGAAGCTGTTTTTGCTTCTTTTGAATGTTTATAGGCAGTTAATATATATTTAATAAATTAAAAAATTTCAGATCTACCCACCTTAAAGTAGATAGCCATTCTTAAAAATGGCTGCAACTTTATCTTTTGCATTAAGTTTACTAACTTCTGAACTAGAATATTGTCAAATACTTAAAACCTGAATCCTTGGTTTACAGTATCCCCAAGCAAAAGGTTACATATTGGTTCAAGATACCAAACAAGTGATCTAGCAGAAAACTTTAATGACCTGAGCACAGTTAAATCATGAAATTAAAAACTGCCAAATATCAATACACGGAAAGACTGTATTTTAGACATATTACACAAAAAGTAAATGTACAGAAAACTAAGACTGTCTGCAAATATATTATATGTCAAAGGAAATAGATTTGTGGTTTTTAAAATTCAAGGCCAAAGGCTTAAGATTTAAGGATATTTATTTTATTTATTTAGTTTTTGGTGAGGAAGATTTGCCTTGAGCTAACATCTGTGCCAATCTTCCTCTGTTTTGTCTGTGGGTCACCTCCACAGCATGGCTGACGAGTGGTGTAGATCTCACCAGGGATCTGAACCCACAAACCCGGGCCACCAAAGTGGAGCACACTGAACTTAAAACCACTATGCCACAGGGCTGACTCAAGGATATTTATTTTAAAGACACTTGTAATAAATATAATAATTATGGGAGGTAATGATAAGATAATGGAGTAAGTATGAGAAACAATCCCAGTCACTTCTACCTCAAATTCTGAACCTAAATGAGAATACTTTTTATTTTTTAAGTAGCTGAATTTCAACTAGATTATGCAAAGTAGCCAACTCAATTTCATAATGCAGAATGTTTGGATATAATCAACAGGTACATGTACTATTCAAAGGAATTGCTAAAAGCTACTTTAACTTGTTCACTGGAAAACGAACGGGGAAAAAGCACTCTTCTGTCACCACTGTAATAGTGTGGCTGAAGCACCACCTTATTAGAGAGAGAGATTCCTAAATCAGTTTGCAAAAAAGCTACTCAAAGTGACATGTTCATTTCAAAGTTAAATTCTACCCCTCCCAACACATTTGTAATCTGAGGAGAAATCTGGAACTGCTGACTAAGTGCTACTACATTCATTAGCCTTTGGCTGACCCTAGGCTGTAGGATCCAACTGTTTTATTCACCACAGTGTCCCAAGTACTTAACACTTTACCTCATACTTGATACCTCAAAGACATTTGTTGAATGAAGTCAATCTTTCAACTGGCTTCACTGTTTACTGGCACTCTTTCTACTCATTCTATTTCAAACCAAATTTATTTTTTTTAAATCTGAAATTTCTCATAGCCTTTTGAAGTTTGTCTTTCTACTTAGGAAATTTTGAAAAAAAGCTCTCATTTTTCCTTTATTTTATTCTATTTACTTAACATTAGGAATGACTATTTGGTTTTTTTTTAAAGTCTATTCTAAAATGTACCAAGACTACTTTGAACCTCTCCTAGGGTTCTGAGTACCTGGAGATTGTGGTCAGGAAAGAATGGTACAGCCAAAGCACTAGATCTAACTAAAATACCAGTTAGCTCCAGGGCTTGTCAATGGTCTTCCTTGCCTTTTAAATTTTACCTGAAACATGAAATTCATAAAATCTAAGGTAATTCTATTTTAAAATATTATTTTAAAGTACCAGACTTACCATTATAGGTTATTCTTGGCTTTGTTAAACACATCACAAGATGTAAATCCATTTCATCTGAGGGTACAAATTTTGAGCATACAGGGCACTTAAATCCTAAAAGGTAAAAGAAACCCATGTTACTTAACTATTCTGAATATCCAACTACATTTTTTAAAAAAGCATGAAAGACAAAAAGCACTTCAACTTCAATATTACACTGTAATACACTCCTTATGTGCAGCTTAAGGCGGGAAGAGAGTTTGTGACTATAATATCTGACTTAAATCAGTTTATGAAGACCACCCTATTCCCAACAGAACAGTTCAAGTGAGGAGAATTTGGTTCACTACAAAATTCCCATATCTTCTTCTAAAGTATGAGTCCAATCAATCTCATTTCTGTCTAATTTTTTTACATTGACTTAACTTAATGATTTTGTTATAACAGTTCTGTATTCTGACCATCCTTCTGGCAATTATCTTTCCCAATTTGAGTCACAAGGTTTTACAGCTAGAAGTATCTTAGAAACTATTCTACCCCATCAACCTTTTAATAATTTATGTGACAAAGAAAGTGAAGCCTTTCAGAACAGCAAAATCAGATCTAGAATCTAAGACTCATGACTTCTAGCATAGCAGTCTTTCTGCCACACCATGCTACTAAAGTCACAATGTAAATAGAAAATAGCATCAAACAGGGCGGATTTGAGAGTCAATTTTGACATAAATATTAGCTAGATTCCTACAATATTCAATCCGTACTACTAGGTATTTGCTTAGAGTACTCTATTAAAAATAAACTGGGATGCTGAAGGAGAGAACAGGTTATGAGGTCAGCTCTATCCTGCCCCCTCACTTACCAAAGGGAATGGTCCCATCGACGGTTCCTTGCTGTCTCCTCGCTGCCCCATTGCTCCCTCCCCAATATCCCTAAGCTGCTTGAGCAGTGCTGAACACCTGATCCAAGAAAGCCAATTTATTGTTTGGCCTAGGAACAACAGATCAGAAGTGGCATAAAAAGATGATCTGGGCCAATTTGTTTTTCTTGGAAATATGACTAAGAAACAGCCAGAGGGTACACTGGTCAGCTGTGAAGAGCTGAAGCAGAAAGGTCACACACAGGTAAGAGAGAGACTGGAGTGTCCATCTTGGCTCATGTGTAAGCTAAATTTATAAGAGAACAGAAACCATCGGCAAGCACAGGAAAATGGTTCACATGGACATCTTGAGCAGATGTGCAGAGAGAAGCAGAACTGCCGTGGGAAACAACAGCTAATAAGAAGGGGGGTGAGAAAACCAGTCCCTGAAGGTGCCTCAGATTCTGGCAGCTCTCTACTTCCAGTACACGTGTTCTTACATGCACTCTCCTCCCTGTGTCATGACATGAAACTCACGGCAAACAAATGAGTCAGACAAAAGCATACCTCATGCAGAACTTTATACAAATTAGGAAAAGGTTTTGGCATGGGTACTTAATCCAGATATTCAACTTCCTAAATGAGATATATGAACACTTTTTCACATTGTAGTAAACAAGTTTTAAAAGAAAGAATTAAGGTATGTTTACTTCTCCCTCTTGAAAACCACCGAATTAAAAAAGAAGAAAAAGGAAAGAGGATTTATCTAAAATGAAACTACAAAAACGCTGTAATCCCCGAAGACCATACCAATACAGCGAAATTTGGATCCAACAGGGAGAAGACAGACTCTCGAGCAGCATTCATATTTCAAGAACCAACTAACAATACTTTGCTTGGAATTGTGAACATTTTCTTCCCTTGAAGTTAAGAAATAAAAGCGGGCAAGAGGCAACCAATTTTCTAACCACTGATCAGAATCATCTGGGTACGGGCACATAAACTCTAAATTACCAAACAAAAGTGCAATGCTGTGAACCACTGAGTGCATTCAACTGCCCACAAAGTACAGCCTAAGTAGAGAAAACTGTATGTGCGAAGAACCACCTGGATTTCTCACTAAATACAAAAACAAATGTGTTTCTCCTCCTATCTAAACCCCACTAAAATCAGAATAAAGTAAACACAGAATAAAGAAAAATTTAAAAGCAGACAGCAGCAGATGAGAAGAAAACAGACGAAGGAATTAACAGGACTGAGAAAACAGACATCCTAAGTGTCTGCAGAAGTAAGCCAATTCTAACTACATAATTCTCCAAGGACTCAGCAATCTATACTTCCAGTGACTTCCCAAGACAATGGTGAGTCATGAGGTTAAAATCTAGATTGACTGAAAGACTGAATAAAAAAAGATCCCCAGATCCCCAACCTATGACACATAGCCAAGGAACTACACTCCCCAACTAGAGCAGGAGAATGAAGGTTTACTATAGAAAAAAAGATCCAAAATAGACTGACTTGAGGACTCCAAGTACAACAATGCAAAGGGAAGAAAACAAGGAATAAAGATCTACGTACTGAAAAGGGCCCCTCCTGCCAATCTCCTTTACTCCATCTCTACAAGAAATTGCAGATTCCTCTCTTAAATCAAAAGGTCCCACAGAATGAAACATCCAGATCCCTGCCTGTTGATAAGCCCAGTCTTACACATAAAGATTCTAATCAGCTTTTCAGGGCCTCTCTCATAACACAACACAATAAAAAAAATATTCTTGCATAGTTAACACAGCAAAGGCAAACTCAAAACACAAATGAAACCATTTTACAACATACATCACAAAAGGACAATATTCTTAATGTACAAAGAACTCCTAAAAAATGAGGAAAACCCAATACCTGCTAGAAAAATGGGCCAAAGTTTTCACCAAAAAAGAAAGATATGCAAATGATCCTTAAACAAAGGAAAAACTGCACAGTGTCAGAATAAAATACGTGCTTTCCTCTCAAGTACTTTCGTTTATTTTTTTATTCTCGTTTTAGTGAGTTTTAGGAGGGAGGAGAGAGAAACAGACGTGCTGAACTCACCATATTTAACTAGAAGTACAGGTGGTTCTTTGTACATACCGTTTTTTCTCTTTAGGCTTTACTTTATTCTCTACATTAAGATATCATTACTCATGCCAGATTGGCAAAAAACTCAAAAGCCTGACAACATATTGTTGACAAGCTGTGGACAAACAGGTACTTTCACACATTGCTAGCAGGAATGTAGACTTGTACAACCTCTACAGAGGGTAATTTGGCATTATCTAACTAGATTACATATGTATTTACCTTCTGACTCAGCAATCCCATTTCTAGCATCTCACCCTGAAGGTATGTCCCCCAAAATACAAAAAAAAACAAGCACAGATAGAGGATTCTGGGAAGATGGTGGAATAGGAAGCAGAGGCAGAATCTGTCTGAGGTAACAACTGTGGCACTCTGGAGTCTACTGAAGGCTTGCAGTTTCCAGGGGAGGACCTGGACAGTACACTGTGGTTAATTTCAGCTCTTAGCACAGTAGCAGCTACCCTTTCCCCACCCCCCAGCCACACAGTAGGCAGCGGTGCACTTGTTCCTGGGACAGCTTGCACACAGTTTGCTGGAGCCAGGGTGGGCAAAAAGGACCCTGTCCTCCAAAGACTGCACTCTGATCCCTGATTGCTGCTTCTGATCCAGGAGGTACAGAAAGAGAGAAGGGGCAGTCACTGCTGTTGGCCCTCTCCCTATTATTGTAGGCCCCTCCCACTCTAGCTGAAGAGACTTCAAGGGGATTTAAAGGGCCTGCATCGGGGGCTGGTCCCATGGCCGAGTGGTTAAGTTTGCGCGCTCCACTTCAGGCGGCCCAGGATTTTGCCAGTTCGTAATCCTTGGTACGGACATGGCACTGCTTATCGAGCCAGGCTGAGGTGGCATCCCACATGCCACAACTAGAGGGACCTACAACTAAAAATACACAACTATGTACCGGGAGGCTTCGGGGAGAAAAAGGAAAAATAAAATCTTTTAAAAAAAAAAAGGAAAAAAACCAGCATTATTAAAAAAAATAAAAATAAAGAAATAAAAAAATAAAGGGTCTGCATCCTTTTTTCCTCCATTTTTCTCTTTTTCCCCTTTTGGAAACCAGACAGTAAAAACTAGGACATTCAAAAACAACCACACATACAGGGAAAATTCGAAAGTGCCTGTGCACGCCCAGGGGAAGACTCAGAAAAGACCTGATAAGATGTTAAGTTTATACCTCAGGCTGAAGATCCTCAGCAGAGAGAGCCTACAACACCCTGAAAAACAGTAATAAAAAATAGCAGACCCTGAGGAAGCAAGAGAATCTGATTTCTAGAGTTACCATATTGTTAGATTCGCATGTCCAGTTTGCAGCAAAAAAACATAAGGTATACAAAGGACAGGAAAGTATGGCCCATTCAAAGGAAAAAAAAAAATAACAGAAGCTATTCTTTAAAAACACCTAATGGCAGATATGCTAAACAGAGACCTTAAAATGCCTGTCTTGGGGCCAGGCCAGCAGTGCAGCGGTTAAGTGCACACGTTCCACTTCGGTGGCCCAGGGTTCACCGGTTCAGATCCCAGGTGCGGACATGGCACCGCTTGGCAAGCCATGCTGTGGCAGGCGTTCCACATATAAAGTAGAGGAAGATGGGTACGGATGTTAGCTCAGGGCAAGTCTTCCACAGCAAAAAGAGGAGGATTGGCAGCAGATGTTAGCTCAGGGCTAATCTTCCAAAAAAAAAAGCCTGTCTTAAAGATGCTCAAAGAACTTAAGGGAGATGTGGATAAAGTCAAGAAAACGATATATGAACAAAATGGAAACATCAATAGATAAAAACCTAAATAGAAATCAAAAAGAAATTCTGGAGCTGAAAAGAATAATAACTGAAATGAAAAACTCATTAGAGGGATTCAAAGGCAGATTTGAACAGGCAGAAGAAAGAATCAGTGAACTTGAAGACAATGGAAATTAATATGTCTGAGGAACAGAAAGAAGAAAAGATTGAAGAAAAGTGAACAGAGCCTAAGGGAACGGTGGGAAAACAACAAGCGAACAAATATTCGCACCATTGGAGTCCCGGAAGGAGAAGAAAGAAAGGGGCAGAGAGAATATTTGAAGAAATAATGGCTGAAAACTTCCCAAATTTGATGGAAGACATGAAAATATAGACATATAACGAGCTCAACAAACTCCACGTAAGACAAGTTG